GATTTGGACCTCCAGATGTAAATTTGTTTTTGAAGGCAAAACAAATACCCCAAGAGAACTGGGGTACAGGGTCCAGCATCTACTCATGGAGCAAATAGTGGGAGACCAACTCAAACATCAGATCTTTCAGTTTGCAGGTAATCAAGAAGTATCCTGGACACCTCCACCACAGGGAGCTATCCGCATTGATGTGGATGGCTCAGTCTGGAATGATCAACACGCAGCATGTGGAGGTCTCATCAGGAATAGCGATGGTGATTGGGTGGTCGGATTCCAAAAGAATATTGGCATTTGCTCAGTTACAGAAGCAGAATTGGTGGCAATCCGAACAGGCCTTGAAGTCGGGAAATTATATAATTATTCCATGGTGGTGCTATACTCTGACTCAATGGATGCCCTTAATCTGATTGCCAGAGAGTGCGCGGCAGACCACCCCTTGAGGATGATTATCACAGATATTAGGGAGTTGATATTTGCTCAGGAAGGTATAGAACTGCATCATGCTAGCCGTAATACTATAAGGTGCGCTGACTACCTGGCGAAGGAGGGACACGGACAGGCGTTCGGTGTCAAGTTGATCACAGATGTACCAGGCAGATATGCTGACTTGATTCTTCAGGATAAGCCAAATGGCTTGGGCTGACGATCTTCTTTGTCTTTTTCCTTAGTCGCTTGTTTTGGCGTCTAGTGTTTATTTTCTTATCCGTTGTTTCAAGCTTAGCTTGTCTTTGATGTTCCAAAAAAAGAAAGAGATCACCTGATGCCCATTTGTAATACACTTGAGGTCCATATATCTACGTTTGTCAAATTCCTCCACCAGGAAAAATCATTGTTTTACTTTTAAAAAGTAATCCTATGATAATTACAATAAGTGAAACCACCAATCAATGATAAATAAAAATGAATATAGGCACCAGTTAGTACATATGAATGTAACATGTATTCAAACAAACACATGGATAATTATAGTGGACTTTTCTAAGAATGTCGATAGTAGAGAAAATGTAGAAAACCCCTCACTTTAATTCCAAAAACAAATGCTGAAAACCAAATTGCTTGTGCCAAAAGCAAATAAAGAATTATCACCGATCACGTAGATTCAAACGGGCAAGCATTTGCGAAAGCTTCAGTAACACAAATAGATGCAGCATATTCATAGAACAGCGAATTATACCCCGGTAACTAGGTATGCCGTATCAATCGCATTTAATAACATTCAAAAAAGAGAGGGAAAAAAGAAACACACACATTGTTTGAAATAGAACCCCCAGCGCGATATCGAATATAATAATTTAAGATTGTAATGATACAACTAAACAAGGGAATAGGGAAAAAGAAAAATGTGCTTATAATTTGCATGCGAGTGCACACTAAACCCCCCTAGCAATTAACGGTGGCCAGACGGCAATTGTTGAACAAGCATGACATCATCTGTGAACACTTCCAATATCCCAAGATAAGGCAGAACCCTAGATTTTCAGAGCTCGCTTGCCGCTTTTAAATTTTTCTCGGAATGAATTACAAGACTACTCAGCGGGATTCGTAAGCTATCAGTCATAAAACTAACGAGTGTTGGCGAGTAATGTGTAATAAAGTGCAAGAATTACCGGTAAGAACCGGATCTGGGCACCAAAGCCCCAGAAATTCGCGGGAAACCCAAGCTGGAGGGGGCAAACTAGCAAGAAAGGAAAGGCGGTCGAAGAGAAACGGATGCAACACGGACCGCACTGACCAGGATTAATTCCTGTAGCCAGAGAAATAAAAGAAAATGTAATATATATACGCACACATAATATATATTTAATTTGTTTATAAGTATATGATCCTAATCTACTTTATTTTTTTAAAAAAATAAGATAGCTCTTATAGTATATCTTAAATGTTTAGTTAATACATATGATTAATAAGGATGTTTTAGAGAATATAATACCTATTTATTACAAATAAATAATTTAATTAATTTTCTTAATATAGTCAAATTATTCAACTAACTCTTATATTTAAGATTTAAGGTACTATTTTGTTTTGCCAACTAAGAAAATGTATTTTATATATATACACACACACAACAAAAAAAATTACGTAAATCATATATATGTACTCCTCCGGTCCTTATTATAAGACCCAATTTGACTTTTTATTTGGTCCTAATTATAAGACCCAATCCATTTTGTCTCTTATATTTATGCATTTTTTTCCAAGATAATCCTTTTAATAATGATAGTTTTAACCAATATACTTAATTAGCAAGGATATTTTAGGAATGACAACACTTATTTATTATAAATAACCAACTTAACTTACTTCCTTAATCTCCTCAAATAAGTCAATTGGGTCTTATAATTAGGACCGGAGGAGTATCATGCTTACATATGTGTTTATATTTATAAGAATGTTTGAAAATATTTTTAAGGAAATGTTTTATTTTTTATATAATAAAATATTTCAAACTATAACATTTAGACTGTATTTTTATATCATATAATGCGAAAATGCTAATTTGCAGTGACATGTGCCCTGTGACAACTTGTACATGTTCTTTTCTTTTCTTTTTCTTTTTTTTAAAAACAAACAAGCAATTAATAGCAAAGAATAAACCGACTAAACGTAGTTTTTCATTTGGCATCTTTAACTTTGTGAGTTCGTGCTCATTTTGTGCAATGAAAACTTGGTAGCCATTAAGTTTGGCGTCACTAACATTAATGTATTAACATTACAATAGACCACGTGAATTTCAGCTAATCACGTGAAGTTAGAGCAGGGAAAAGATGCATTGAAAGAATTATACATTTGCGCCCGTGCACAAATCACAAGTTCGTATCTTTACTCTTCTCCTTACTCCTTTCTTCCCTGGTTGGCTCATCGTCACAAATACATTTGCAGCCTCTTTTATACCAAAGTTTATAACACAAACAAATAAACAGCTGCCAACACCTCACCTCCCTTTTTTTTTTTTTTTCCAAATGGCACCGATCAATTTACAAATATTCTCTTCACCCCTTTACATAAAATTGAAACGATATTAATATCATCTTTTTATGTGTGCTTCCCATCATCAACGGAATGATAACTAGTTAAAAGAGCTATTCTTCAATCATAACTACCTTGCAACTTACAATCCAACTTTAATCAATACAAGCAAGATCAGGCCAGTCCAATTCTTCGGAAACAAAAATGCTGCAGTCGAGTTAATCAGATCACGCCAACACACCAGGATGCATCATAAATTGTCAAGGTATCCTAACCATCAACGTGTCTGGAATCATGTTGGTCAAAATGTAACTGTGGGTAGCTGTCAACACGATTCTAAATACATTACCCGATATGCCACTCAGATTGGAGGGCTTTCTCTATTTTTTCCTCGTAAGAGTGTTGATTGATTTCATGTTTTTTAAAACTCTTCAAACAAAAATCAAATGTTACAGTTCACACTAATATCTTTTGGTTATAACATACTACCTCTGGTCCTAATTATAAGACCCAGTTGACTTATTTGAGGAGATTAAAAAAGTAAATTAAGTTAGTTATTTGTAATAAATAAGTGTTGTCATTCCTAAAATATCCTTGCTAATTAAGTATATTGGCTAGAACTATCATTATTAGAAGGATTATCTTGGAAAAAAATGTATAAATATGAGAGAAAAAATGGATTGGGGTCTTATAATTAGGACCAAACAAAAAGTCAAACGGGATCTTATAATAAGGACCGGAGGTAGTATTTAGCAAGAATGTTAATTTGTCCGCTATAACAACTGTTGATATTCTAGAAAATTTATTACGTTTTTCATTTTTGGGGCGAACCATGTTTAATCCATCAAACTCGTCATCGGCTTGATCCACACATCAAGTCAGCCCCAAGCAAAGCTAAGCCATGGGCCAACATTTTGCCGCAAATTATCAAAATCGAAGTCACCCAGTCAAACCTTTTAACATGGTTAATTTTCACAAACATCTTCATTCTTGTCACCAAAATTATGACTTTTTAAGGTATTATATTTACGGGATCGAGTCTTGATAACTTGAAAAAAGTTGTTGTCATATGTCTGCTGCCTTGTCAAACTCTAATTTTTCCCCTTCTTCCTCCATGTAACGGCAAACTGATTAGTGAACCAGGACTGTTTCTCTTTCTCCTCCCCCCACTGCACACGTAGATGAGTAAACCTGCAAAGTCTGCACAAACAATGGTATCTGTAACTCCCCCGCTTTGAGGGTCATTTATGAACCCTTGCCCTTCTCCAATCTCCAGCGCTTTCAAGTGGTTGTTAAATGTTAATACTGCTGACCACTTGAGGATTACGACTGCCCAGTTGCATTTTGTAGTATTACATTTTGGCTGAGCTATTGAAATGACACGACCTAGCAGATGTGGCGGCGGCAGCATCTAGAGCATCAATTCGTTCAAGATACATTCACTTTACCATGCACTTCAGGCACTGATCCAACTCTTCACACCACTGGGTCAATACGATAACCTTTATCTTCATATAGATATATCAAAAAAAATTGCTTTATGCAGGTTAGTTTGTCATTTATAGCTAGCACAGTCGCGGAGTTACAAGAACTACAAAATGAAAGGGATTAGAGACAACCATACCAGTGCAGTCATCCCTCGAACCTTGGATGATCTCAACTAGCCTCGTACATGAGATTTAAACTGCAAAGCAGAAACATCAGAAGGCGCAACGAATTGGCACAGAACAAAAGACTTCGAAGCCATCAACAGTTACTCGCGGCAATAATATGACACCGTTGTGGATCATAGAATGGGACCGAGGAACAAGCATCCTTCCCATTCAGGACAAAATTCTCTAACAATCAAACGACGATCGCCAGATGGCATCTACATTAAGGGCAAACACAATTCCGCTTCTAACCAGTAACAATTGATTGTTGATAATCCTTGAATGCGTATTGAGGGATCAATAGTCAGATTGTCCTAGCAATAAAGCTTCAGCCTCGAACAGAAAGAACATATAGCATAATCAGAAGAAAGAAACAGCTGCAGACATAAGAAATTATTATTGAATTATTATTGAAACACTAACTGAAGTGATTTACAAAGAACTCGAGCTACAAAACCATCTAAGGTTTGAGTTACAAGATCAAGCAAAGATAAAAAGTTACAAGTAAACAACAACCCTTTGGCAGAAGTGTACACAAGTAAAAGAAAATGAGCTCACACTTAGACATACTCTACATGTATTCATTAATCATTGTCCCATACTTTCAATTAGTCTGTCCATTCTCGACGCCTAGACCATACAAAACACCAGCGTATTTCTCTGTAGATCCATTGAAGAATGCATCCCTCAACTTTCTAAACGTACACCATGTGAGCAAACTATCTGACCCTGCTTGATGGCATGCACCAATTCTCTCCACTTCCAACAACTCTGCAAGTTTGTTCAATCCCCCGTGGAGGCTGTTGCAGAACTTCATCAAATGTTTGATGTCATACACCATGGGAAAGTAAATATGGATCAACTCAAAGAATCCCGCCTGTGTATCCGGCAAGGCACGGCACGTCAATAGCTTAAGGAGATACCCAAAATCATACCCACTGTGGAATGTTACCCAATGAACAGAATCGTTCAACACTATCCCCGACGACATCAAAAGCTCACCGAACCGGTTCACATCAATGCCCCTCTCGCTGTTCTTCTTGAAATCAATCCCACACTGACGCAACAACTCAATTGAATCACTTGCATAAATGTCCTCACTGATGTTGAACTCGCGAAAGTTAAATTGCCAAATGCAAAATTTGTCAGTGCCGCAGGTTGGAAGATTCCCGTGCGCGTCCGAGAAAGTAAGACCCAATTGGATCAACTTCAACATATCAACGTTATCCTTCAAAGTTTGGTAGTTATATTCATTGATGTTTTTGAAATTACCCACAGGGCGAAGAACCACTCCAGGGAACTCCGTGTCCATGGCGATGTAGTTGTATTCGTCCACGATTTCACGGATTAACGCAAACTCCCCTTCAAGATTGTCGTTCCAAACATCCCTGATTTGAATCGAATCGCTTTTCGATAAAATCGACATCTCTGACGCACAAATCCGAGCAACAGGATGAAAATTGCAATCAAACCCAGATCTGCAAAATAAAGCTTAAGCGTTCAGATCCCGAAGCTCAACCGCGTTCAAAGTGATAGCTTGGTTGCACTTTAAATAGTTTTAAAACAAAGTTCCGTCACAGCCAAAAAAAAAAAATTAAACAAGAAGAAAATCACAAGCATATAAAAGCTAAAGACCTGAAGTAGATTTGAGTAAGTAAAGCTCCAAATCAAAAAGGTTGTCAAGATTCGACTAGATCTGAAAGCCACCAGAGTACAAGAGACAACCAATCAACGAGGACTAACAGTTTGGAGTGAGCCAAAATTCAAGTAGGAACCCTAAAACAAGGAGTAGTGAGGAGTGAGAATTCTAACCCTTTAGGAGGGAAACCGAGGCTAGCGATTTGCCGATCTCAAACTGAGAATCAAAAGTTTTTGATTTTGGTGAAGAGCGATTTGAGGGTCAACGAATGGATAGAGGCGAATGGAAAGAGATGGAAGCGCAGGTTGGAATGGGCTTTAATAAACAAGGGCGGCCACTCAGCCAATTCTGCTTCTCACGCGTTAGTTCTGGGGATGGCATATCCGACCATATAAAACGACCCGTTTCCTGACTATGCCACCGACCTTCTTTTTCTTTTTCTTTTTTTTTCTCTTCCTTCAATTAAATACTCTTCCAATACTAAATATAAAATTTTTATATGTATATTATACTAATATAAAGGTCTAATATTTAGAACTGAAAGAGTAAATTTTTTCTAATATTTGAAAAAAAATAAATCATGTTGATAATTAACATTACTGAGCATCTCCTCTACCAAAAAAAAAAAAAACATTACTGAGCATCTCAACTAAACATTTAGTTGCGTTAAACTATCTCATTTGGCTGCAAATCACAGGTGATGTCATAAGCATGTGTTAGGTCTCCCCTCGAATTTTCACACGGAATATTCAAATCTGTTTGTTTATTGTTTAGCCCAAAAAGGAACAAAACATGCTTATGTTTACTACAAAATGAGGCATTAATGTGAAAATAATCGGTGGTCAGCAATTCAGAGGCATTGTCGCCTAACCACATCTATAATACTTGAAAATTCTTAATAATGGCTCTTGAAGTAGGTTTCTAATAAATAAAAAGACCAGGTCACCATCCTTGGCTCAAGGTGTAGAGAATAATAATGTGAAGCAATAATGCAATTGATCTTATCAATATCGATTTTACATATTACATAAAATTAAAACGAGAAACATTATTGTTTTACGATTCATTCGTGTGTGGTTATCAATTTGTTTCGTTTTAGAAATTACTTTCTTGTGTTTTTAACTTGTATTCTTTCGATTAAATTCTGAATTTCTATTTAATTTTTTCACACGGGTGTGAAAAATGAGTGTGTGGAATGTTATATTGTCGATATTATGAGAAAGTTGAGTTACAATATTTATAAAGGAATATTGCTGAAAAGTCACTCATTACAAAATTTATTGTTAGAGACATATGAAACATGTTTAAGGACTCAGATGCATCAAACGGAAAATATTTACACACAAACATATAACGCGCATGTACAGGCATATGATGCATGCATCTGCCCAAGAACCTAAACTTGATAAATAAATTTTACATCGAAGAACCGAAGAGTTTTATAGCAACTTTTTCTATTCATAACTCGTAAATATTGTTTATTAAATATATTATATTATATATTGATGAGAGAAAATCATAAAAAAAAGACATTGAAAATAGAAAAACTGTAAATAGGGATTCATTATAATATTAGTATAAGTTTTGATGACAATAATTTTTATGGCTGGTCTCTGTATAAGAATATAAAATTAAAAAAAAAAAAGAGAATGCAAAATAATGCAGGGAGAGGTGACTACAATCCACATCATTTTTGTCCACGTGGTCCAAAATGGTAGGCTATGTGCCAAGACAAATCCAGTATGAACGCGGATGCCATTCCAAACAATTGTCGTCACTATGCTGTCTCTTTCCGTCTGGGAAAACCATAACTTCATCGTTTTATTGAGTTGCCCTCGCTAGCCACACAACGTTGGATAATGCTCCTACTTGCTCCATTACTCAACGAGGTTTTTTATTTTTCCAGCGAAGAAACAAAATTTTTTTTTTGGCAACTGGGTTGGCTTTAGAAATTTGCAATCAGAAAAAATGTACCGATTACGCTTGCAGAAATAAGGGGAAACAGAAAGAGTCGTCAATTATTTATTGTCCACACCAACGCAAATCATTAGTTAACTAAAAGTTTTAGTTTTTTATACTAAGTTTACGATATTTAATTAGAAAGTCATGGGCCATGGGCCATGGGAGAAATCAACTGGATCCAGCTAGACAAATGTACTCGAGAGAGCAGTGTCAAAGCCGAAGAGAAAGAGAATACAGAAGAACACGTTCTGGTACCAAATGATTTGACTTTCTTTATTCAGCTCCCAAGTTTAGACGTCAATTTGTGTAATCTATACATGCTCTTTAGACCCGGGGGGTGTGTGAGGTGAGGTGAGAAAGCGATAGTCATGTGGATGGAAAAATGAATGGTTTGTGGAGAAATGTAAGTGAAAATAAAAATATGGCCTGTGTATAATTTAATTTTCTGCAAGGAGTTGTGAATTGTTGGCTGTAAAGTTTTAGAGGCAATTTATAATGTGGTAACGGAATGAAGGGGAATATAATTACCAGGATAATGAAAGACTTTTCGCCTTTATTTTTGGGGGGTGCTTTATCTTTTGTCCCCTGTTTTCTGAGCACTGTGGGCAAAGAATAATATTTATGGCTCCCATTGTTTCGTCTTTATCGAAGAAGCAAGCAAATCCTGTTCTGCAGCGGAACACGTAATAGTGCCGTATCTTTCTGTTTATTTTCTTCAATAAAAAATAATAAGAAAAGAATTATCAAGAAACATTTCATCAGAGCGAATAGAATGGATGAAAGTCAGTGTTTTGTCTTTGGACAATCTCGCGGGTTTAGTGACCCGAGGCCACCGACCGCTTTCATAGCTCAGTTGGTTAGAGCACCCGTTTAGCAAGCGGGAGGTCTTGAGCTTGACTCTCAATGAAAGCATACTCAGTTTAATAAATTTGCTTCATCATTCAAAGCTGATGAAAACCAATTCATTCTCTGTTTCTTGGTTTTGCCTAATCTTTTTTTAGTTACAACCAGCTATGCTGGATGGATGGAAGTAGGGGACTGGCAGATTTTATGATGATAAGATTGCGAGCTGCCCTCAGAAGATGCTATTTTGCCGGGAGAATAGTGACATCCTGACTCCTTATGCTTAGTCAATCGCCAGTTTGGTAAATTCTCGTTTCTGGTTCGCTAACAGGGGATACAAACGGTGTGGAATATGGCTCCTGGGACTCCATTAAAGCCAATTTGAACTAAACAGAACAAAGGCACTCCGAAAAGACTTACTTCCAATGTCCTAACGTCCCTTCACCTTTAGAGGAGGGAGCTGGGATCCAAAAGTGAGAGGGATAGTATCTTGCCTTAGAAAAGAGGTCAGAGACGTTGATATAGCTGAGATTGCAAGCAAACAGACAGTTATCATCAGAGCTCCAGCAAACCAGAGAGTATCATAGGAACATGTTTCTAATTCTTTACAACAAGTGGTAGGTTTATTGGTCAGCGAACTCGTACTTACGCAGCGATTACAAGGAGAAAATGAAAGGGAAAGAAACGCATATTTACGTTTGGGTGGGGGCCCACACGATGATCAAAGAGGGTGTGAGTTGAGTGGAAGAGGTGGACCGTAAAATCAGGGCCCTAACTGTATGCGACTTTTTCGTGAAAAAAGAGGAGTCACTTGATGACGTCTTACAGATCTTTCGTTAAAGTTGAATTGAAAGCCCAGTACATGTACCTTTGATCCTCTTTCTTGCTGGTGTGGTGTGACAAAGATGCCGTTTATGATCAAAAAAAGACAAGTTTGCCTGGCGTAATTGGCTTGGCAAGCTGCAGCTTGCCAATGACTAGTTTTACCATTTTCTACCGCACATGAACCATCATCCAGTTCCATTTTAAGCTGAAAGTATAGAGCTGTCAAATTCCAAGTCCTTCAAGGCTAGACTGTTTGGGTTAATTTAAAGCTGTTCTTACTCCTAGATCACTTCTTTTTGTGGGCATCTCTTGGGTGATACAAGACATATCAAGTCTCAAGACTGCTAAGTCCAGTCCAGAGGGTCCAGCCCGACTTTTTCTTTTTGTTTTTTTGTCAATCTGATCAAATCATCAAGCATAACCGGACGGTTGGGAGACATGACCAGAATCATGTATGTGAAAATCCCATGTACCTAAAGTGAATCATCAGCATTGTTGAAGGGAAGAAGCGGGTAAAACTTGCCGAGGATAAGGATATACATATATAAACACATATATATGACCTTAGGTTCACGTGAACCAGTGGGCACCACCCATTCTCGCCCGATATCATCAGCAGTGTATTGAAACTTCTGTGACCGACTCATCAATCAGCCTTGATGACGAGTTTGAACTGTGACCGTCTCATCAATCAGTACTGAAACGCTTACCACCACCGTCTATTCTTCACCACTTCGTTCCTCATCCCATCCCAGCCCTCTTCTCCTTTATTCTCTGCTGAATTCTGATACATAAGTCTTCGGCTTTCCTTCGACTCCGTCATTGGAAGCAAATCTTCTCTTTTTGTAAGTTCTTATTGATCACGCTGAGGTTTTGATAACATGTCAAAAGCCAACCTAAACTTCACATACAATGCGACTGATGAGGTGGGCACCTCAGGTCCTTATTAAGGAGCTAAACTTTTTCCCCGTGTATAAAAAGAACCATTTTTATGCTCGCCCGTGATGATTTGAGCTTGGAGACAACCTTGCTTTCTTACTGTTGATTAATTAGTTTGAAGTTTACATGTATTGATTGTGTTGTAATTATATAAAACATACGCAAGCTTTTTAAGTTGCGTCTGCAATAATCGCGCAATAAGGACGACGGTGTGAGGAGATGATGAAACCAAGAAATTAAGGCACGGCCACATTTTCCATAGTGACCCAAATTTAATTTGTGTACAGGGCATCATATAAGGGAGTCACGGGGGACAATACGCCAATCAATACCTAGTCACTTATACATGGCCAGAAGAATTGGCAACAAGAAACTAAACCATCTATGCCACCAAATAGATAATGAGACCAAATTACGTCCGGAAACCTTTTATCATGTTAACTAATAACGCCAGGGAATATGATCATTATTAAATCTATACATATATTACGGTCCTTTTTTTCTGAGGGGAAAAAATAATACCTGTCTAGTGTGAATATGATTAATTCCTTGCTATCACATATTCTTATAGTCCCTCGTAGAGAATTTATATAACTAGACGTTGGATAAATTAGTTAATTATAATAAATATGATATAGTCTATTAAAATTATAATACTCGTACTATATTATATATTAGTTTGTAAATTAAATAAATTAATCTGACAAAATAATAAATATGAAAACTAAAATATACTCCCTCCGTTTCTTAT